AATCCTACTTCCGTAGTGATACTGCCTCGGAAACCCAAGGAGGGGTCGCTATGAGTCGGGTTTGACTCGACGGCACATAACAACAACAACGTATATGTATTGTGTGTGGGGGTGGGGTGGGTGGGGTATTACAGGGAGAAGTGTTGAGAGATATAAAGGAAAGCCTCAGGCAAATCCAGAAATTCTGGTACAAACTTTGCTTCAGAGTTCAGAATTGGTTCTAGAGGAATCAGGGAAGGATCCCTGGAAGAGGTGTTATGCTCACCAGCTGGATCTTATAGGATGGGCAGCATTTGGGCATATGGGGTGGGAGGCACAGATTGCTAATATTCACTTTACACATGGCATCTTTTCAGATCTGTGTGCACTCTGGCATTAACAGTTATAAAGGATAATGATAGTCCATGATACTGGAAAACTGAGCAAAGCTGGATGGGGCAGCCTTGTGTGTCTGACATCATGTAGGGTGCTTGAGCCACATGTGGGCACCAGATGTTTTGCCATGCAGCAGCACTGATGTGTCTACACTTATACTCCACTTACCTGTCATCTTTGCATGAATTTGCTTTTGTCCTAGACATTTGGTGCTGCAGACTGGGAAGTGTTCCACATCGGAGAGAGGATCTTTCTTGCAGTCGCCAACAGTCACAGCTACGATGTTACAATGCAAGTACAAAATGACTCCTATATCATCAACTCAGTCATCTATGAGCTGAATGTCACTGCACAGACTTTCGTTAAGTTCCAGGATATTCCTACCTGCAGGTACACCTGAAGGCTGGTGGCAAGGGCAAAGCTTATTTTGAATTTTGCATAGTATCAGATCACCTTTTCTCCAGGGGAAATTGAGTAATTACCTGACTTATATTCATAACCTTTGCTCTAATAACCTTCAAATGGCATGGTTCTGCAGAATAACAGACTAATGACAACAACAAAAAATTACTGTTAATGTTGCTTTGGAGGCAAAACAGGAAGTCACAACTAAATATCTTACTTTCTGTTGAGCTAAACCAATTTCAACTTTTAATTGAGTTACGTGTCTATGAGTTACAGTGCAACCAAATGGTAGCTTATACTGTCTACAAGGTAAAATGGTTCCATTTGCTTCTTTTCCTCCAGCCTTTGAGAACTCAGTTATGATTGAAGAAATCACACACACAACTGGCCATTACCTCAGCTGAACTTCATTGCTTGACACATGGTGACATACTCAGTATGGGCCTCTTCAATACATATGGTCCTGGTCACCCCTTCAGAACCAAATCAACCCCCTATTGTGGGATGTACCCCCAGATATGATCCTGCTGATGGAGGAAGGAATGATGACACAAAGTCATTCCTCTTCCTGTCCCTGCATGTCCTGAGACACTTCCATGGACCCTCACATTCCCCAGCATCCTGCCTGAGCCCCTGCTCTAAGCCAGCCCCATCATTTCCTCATGACCTGAAGATGAGTCTCAACAAGATAGTGTGGTTCCTCTGTTCAGAACCCTGAGGCCACCAGACACAGAGGTAGTGGCCTAGATTTTGGTATGAGTCTGACTCTTGGTTGTTGTATAGCTGAGGCCTCAGTTTCTTCATCTGTAAAGTTGGGGCAGGACCTGTGGGAATCAGAGAAGCGTAAAGCAGAGTCAGGATATGGGGCCTTCTTGGAGGGCAGGGTGCTGGGAAGTGCTTCCAGGAGGCTCCTTGTCCAGCCCCACAGAACTGAGCTGTCTCTGAAGACAGACTAACCCTTAGCAGAGCCTTAGCAGATCTATGACAGAATGTATCCTATGAATTTACAAGAAGAAGCAGAGTGTCTCAGTGTAGGGGAGGCTCGTGTGTCCACAGATACTCTTAGGTATCTGAACAGCTGTCAGGGGAAGGAGCCAGGCATAAAATGGGTGACATCATAGTTGGTGTCCTCCAGATGCTACCTCCAGAAGGGAATCCAGCATGTGTGGTGTGACCATGAGCTTGGAACTTTCCTCTAATTATTTGGACCTCTTAAAAGTGAGCAATTAAGTTACATCTTCCCAGAATAGACCTAGTTCTTGAGTAGTGCAAACATTTAACATGCTCTACTGCCAACTGAAAGGTTGGAAATTTGAGTCCACCCAGAGGCAGTTCAGAAGAAAGGCCTGACAACCTACTTCCAAAAAAATCAGCCATTGAAAGCCCTATGGAACATAGTTCTACTCTGACACACATGGTGTCACCCTGAGTGGGCATCAATCTGATGACAACTGGTTTGGATTTTTTGTTGTTGTTTAGAAAAGACCAACTTGCCATTTTACCTTAAGAAAATCACTCCTCCCCTTTGGGCCCTGGCTCCTCGTCTGGTATTTGAAGAGTTGGCTTCAAGTCATACCCCTCCCCTTCTGCCTGCATTCTCTGGAACATCTGTGAATAACAGGCCCTAGTATCTGCTCACTTGTCTCTGCAGTGCCCTGGACTGGGAGTTCTTCTCTGTGGGAGAAGATTATTTCCTGGTGGTTGCCAATTCCTTCGATGGAAATACCTTCTCGGTAAACAGTATTATTTACAGGTAAAGAGCTACCAAAAAGCAGTGTCTCTCCTACCACCTTGGTTCACCTCTGGGTAATCTCATCTAGCCTTGCAGGTAACCAGAGGCTCAGAATGAGTCACAGGCCATTGCCTAAGTAACATTTGTCAAGGCTTCATCCAGCCTATAAATCACCTGGTGCAGGGTGCATCTGAGTGGGGGTGGAGTCTGGGTCACTGCCCTGCATTTAATGAGGTGACTCACTGATCACACTGATTCAAAGAGCTTTGGGTTCTACCTGGAGGTGCAGCATATAGATAAATTAATCTCAGAGCTATTGATATTTTAACCTTATTAAATGTCCCCATCCAAGACAATGGCATGGCTTGCCATTTATATCCTCCAATAAAATTTTACAACTCTCCTCATAGAAACACTATGTCATGGTTATTAAATTTTTTCCCAGGTGTCTTACAAGTATTGGAATATGATGAATGGGATTTTTAAAAAGTTCCATTTTCAGCTCTTTATGTCAATAATCCATTTCTGAGTCTTATCACCTATCAACAAAAATGAGTTGGGTTTCCACACCTGTGGCTTCCAGCCAAAAAAAGACAGGCATATGAGTTGAACATTTACCTCAAGTAGATACTCTCCTTGGAGAGAACAATCATGGGAGAAAGAGGGCTGCTTATGCACAGGGAGACAGCTCAGAGGGCAGGAGTCCATGGAGGGATGGACACAGGGAAGAGGTAACTATGGGGGGGAGCGAGAGGGGAGTTGTTGCATTGTGGTAAACTGTGGTCAATAACATGAGACAAAGTATTTGTGAACTGCTGTATGGAAAGTGAATTTGCTCTGTAAATCTTCACCCAAATCACAATTTAAAAAAAAAAAAAAAAAAGAGTTGGGTTTCTACACATCAGCAATGAGAAATCTGAAAGGGAAATTAGAGCGACAATTCCATTTATAATAGCATCTAAGAGAATAAAATATTATTGTTTAGATCCCATTGAGTCTGTTCCAACTTATAGTGGCCCTATGTAAAATATCTATGAATAAATATAACCAAGGACATGAAGGACTTATACAATGAAAGAGGTTAAAGAATACTTAAATAAATGGAAAGATATTCTATGTTCATGGATTAGAAGACTTGTTAAGATGTTATCAATACACCCACTCCTCATTTATTGACATTGTTTTAGGTTCCAAAGATCAGGTCATTATGCAAAAATCGGCATTATGTGAAAATGGAAGATGACCACATCAGATCACAAAATGGAGGATGATTACATCATTATACAACTGCCAAATTACATCATTACATAACTGCCAGATTATATCATTACATAACTGCAAAACTACTGAAAATTATGATCTAGTCAACTTGACACACAATCTTAACCAGCATAGCCAGTGTTACTCTCACCTCATACCTCAGCCTTCATTACTGCCAGATATATGTCGTGAATGTGCAAAATAGTAGGATCATAAGTATTTTGCTATTATTGTAAATGCAAAATGTTGAATAGTGAGATAGTTGATAAAAGTGGAGTAGCTGTACTACTCAAAAAGATCTATAGATTCAACACAATCCTAATAAAAATTCCAATAGCCTTCTTTATAGAAGTGGAAAAACCAATCCTCAATTAATGTGGAATGGCAAGAGGCCCCAAACAGCGAAAGCAGTACTGAAGAGAACAAAATAGGAAGACTCACACTTCCTGATTTTAAAACATACTATACAGCTATCATAATCAAAAAAGCCTGATACTGGTATAACAATAGACCAAAGGAACAGAATTTTAAGTCCAGAAATAAACCCATACATATATTTATGATCAACTGATTTTTGACAAGAATACTAAATCCATTCAATGGGGAGAGAATAGTCTCTTCAATAAACAGTGTTGGGAAAATTGGATTTCCATCTGCAGAAAAATGAAACAGGATCCATACCTCACACCACACACAAAGACTAATTCAAAATGGATAAGGACCTAAATAAAATTCTTGGAAGAAAAAGTAGGGGCAGTGCTGTCAGGTCTCCCTTTTAACAATGGATTATCTAACATAATAACAAAAGCACAAGCAGCAAAATACAAAAGGGAAAAAGCTATCAGACCTAGCTTTTTAACAATGAATTATATAATAACAAAAAAAAAAAAAAAAAAAAAAAAAAAAAGTGGGACTTCATAAAAATTGAAAAAAAAAAAAACTTATGTTCATCAGAACACTTTACAGAAAAAATGAAAACACAAGCTATCGACAAGGAGAGTATCTTCAGGAACCACATGTCTGACAAGAACCTAATAACCAAAAATATATGTAATTTTGATGACTAAACAACACAAAAACAAATAACCCAATCATAAAATGGCCAAAGAGTTTGAATAGACAATATTTTGCCCATAGAATCCTTCAGTATTGCAACTTGAGGTCTGAATTTTTTCTTCAGTTCTTTTAGCTTGAGAAATGCCAAGCATCTTCTTCCCTCTTGGGTTTTTAACTCCAGGTCTTTGCACATTTCGCTATAATACTTTGTCTTCTCAAGCTGCCCTTTGAAATTTTCTGTTTAGCTCACTTACTTCATCATTTCTTTGTGTGTGTATATTCTTCATCTCCATAATTATAACCCAAGATATACATTCTACTTCCACACCAGACTCAGTGGGGAAAGCAGGTGTTTCTTAGCAAATGAAGCCATGGACAGTATCTCAGAATGGCAGGAATAATGAGCTAATTGGGTGGGACTGATGTGAGAGCAACTGGACCACGCCTGCCCAAGGCTGACTGTGTTTCTCTCTACAGGTGGCAGGGTTATGAAGGCTTTGTGGCCGTGCACAGCCTCCCAACCTTTGGCTGCAGAGACTGGGAGGCCTTCAACACCACGGCTGGCTCCTACCTCATGTACTCCAGCGCCAAGGAACCCCTGTCCAGGGTTCTGAGGCTGAAGACAGTGTAAAGGGTCATGGACCTGCCTGGCAAGGGGCCATGGGACAAGGGGATGGGGCAGGACCCCACCTCATGCACCAATATGTCCCTGCCTAGACCTCCCAAGAAGCCCAGGGATCTTCAGATGGGGCCCATGGACAGCACCCCTGCCTAGATGGGTGGATGGGCCATGGGAAAAGCTCCCTGTAGGCCAAGGGGTTTAAGAGGTCTCAGCTCCAGCAGGCTGACCATGTACAATTGGGCTGTCCACCTCAGCAGTCCCAGCCATGGCCCCGACTAGAGCTCACCTCAACCCCAAAACCCCCCTGGTGTAGGAGCTCAAGGACCAGTGATACCACACCAAGACCCTGGTTGGTTTGGTGGTGCTTTAGGGGTAACAGGACCCCCTCCTGCAGCCATCATGTCTTAAAGGAGAAGTTTATATCATATTGTACCTCAAAAAAATGGTGCATGGTCATACTGATGACCCTGCCCCTTCCACACACACCCAGTTTCTAACACAGGTTTTGTTGCTTTGTTTTCTATATTTACTACCAATTATTTATTGTGTCTTATCTATACTGAAACATATTTATAATGTTGTTTACAAAACCCCAGCTGCATCTCTGTGTTTCTTGGGGGACTCTTGGTGATGTGTAACAGGGGCTTCAAACATGCTCACTGATGAGAGGAACTCATCCACAATGGCAGATGAGGGGTGTGAAGGGCAAATCAAATTCCACTTCTGAAATCAATGCAATCTATTCCACTTCTCTGACAACAAATATAAGAATGAATTACAATCTATACTCGATTCTATTCAGTCCCAATTCAATTTCCTATGCACTTCCTCCTCTGACCCTGACCACCCAGAACTAGATCAGAGCCTTCATATTAAAAGGCATATCCTCCAGACAGCCAAGCAGGCCCAAGACCTTAGATACCACCCACAATCTTAAGAGTTCCCATGATACCCCTCACTTCTAACCTGCTAGCTACAAATTTGGTGGTTCCCTTTACCCCCTCAGGATACTAGTCATAAGCTCATGGGTTCACAGCTCCCTCATTACTGACTTGCTGGCTCCCACTGCTCCTTCTAGTTTGATAATTTGTTAGAATGCCTCATAGAACTCAGAAAAGTGCTGTACTTACTGTTTTATTACAGCAAAAGGGATACAAATGGAGAGATCCATAAGGTGAGGTCTGGCAGGGTTCCTAACGTGGAGCTTCCATGTCCCAAGAAGGGACACACTGTCCTCCCACATTCACTGATGTCTTCCACCAACCAGGAAGCCCCTGGAGATTCCATATCCAGAGCCTTTATGGGGTCTCATTGTATAGCATCATTGATTCAATCAGCCTTCCATCAGGAAGGGCTGATATTACACACTAAGTCTTTCTGGACTGTCAGCCACTACCTCACTGCCATAATATGATCTGGAGCCTTCTTCAAAGACATTTCAATCACTGGGAACTTTCAAGGGTTTAAATGTTCTTTTTCAGGAACAAGGACAAAGACCAAATACTCTGGGCAATATTGATCTTAAATCTCACAAGGGTGCACCTTTCTCTGCAGGTGGCTTCATCTCTCTGGGTTTCAGCTGACCCATAAATACATCAAGGTCAAGTCAGGAACCCCAAGCTCCTGGCATGGGCCTGCCCTAGGAAGCCTCACTGGGCCACAGGAGCCATGCTTTCTATTCACAGCCTGCTGCCCTAAGGGTGTGACCTAGTTAGTGCAGCAGGCCTTACAGTATGCAGGACATGGAAGCCTTCTGGGCAAGTGCTTTCTCAGCTCCCTCCTCTATCAATGACCTGAACCTATATAGTCAATGTGCCCACTGCTAGGTTAAAGGCATCCTCCTCCTGCTTGTGGTGGGTTGGGGCTTCTGTCTGAAGAGACATTGGCATAATACTGGGAATATGGGTGGAGGAGGTCCCACCACCCCAGGCAGGCCTTCAGGGTGGGAAGGAAAGGACTATGGGACTGACTACAGCTATGAGATCACAGGGTCTGTGGGCCCTTATGCCTCTATGTTTAGAAAAGGAGAAACTGAGGACCAGGCAGGAGAGAGGGCTTGCACAACAGCAAAGTGAGCCTAATCCATGTGTTTGTGTCCTGCCTGGCCTAGAAGAGAGTGCAGGATCCTTGAGACTGAAAAGTGATCTGGGGTGGGACCCAGGGCCAGCTTTATGGGCAGATAACCTGTGAAGTCACACTGGGTCCTATGCACGGGAGGGTCTGTGGTCAGAAGGGTCCTGTGCTCAGATGGTCCAAGCTTTGTGTAACCTTCTGCAGTCACTACCTAAAAATTATTCATTGTTTTTGAACAAGGAAAGTCCTGGTGTGTTCACTTTGCCCTGGGCATTATAGATGACATAGCATCCTGGTTTGAGGGATGAATGAGGATCCAGGCAGAATGCAGGAGCATAAGCCTGAGAGAAGATGAAGGTGTCTGGAGTCAAGGCTTTTCTTTGTTGTCCTAGTTATCTAGTGCTGCTATAACAGAAAAATGACAAGTGGATGGCTTTAACAAATATAAATTTTTTCTCTCACAGTTTGAGAAACTCAAAGTCCAAATTCAGGTCACCAACCCTAAGGGAAGATCCTTTTCTCCTTGCAACATCTGTGGGCCCGTCATTCCTTGGAGATCTTCATGTGTCTTGGCTTCAATCTTCCCCCATATCTAGGAGATTCTCAGCACAGGGACATTGGGTCCAAAGGACACATTGTGCCCCCAGCTCTTATTTCTTGATAATAGTGGGGGTCCCTTTCCTCTCTGCTGATTTCCTTCTCCTTTTATCTCTTGTAAGGTAAAAGATGTGACTCAAGGTAGGGTGTGACTTGAGTAAGGATGTGACTTGAGTCATACCCTCTTATAAGCCTGTGACCCCCCCATGACCTCATCCATGGCACACCCCACACTGATCCTACTTCATTAATATATAGATATTGGGATTTCCAACACATCACAAAATGAAGGATAATTGCATCAGGTTGTAAAATGGAGGACAGTAACACAATACTGGGAATCATGGCCTAGCCAAGTTGACACATATTTTGGGGGGACACGATTCAATCTATGACATTCTACATTTGGGCCCCCAAAATTCACATTGTTGCCACATAAAAACCACATTCACTCAATCATATCATCCTAAAAGGCTTAAACTGACTCCAAGTCCAAAACCTCCTCTTCTGAATCATCTAAATCAAATATAGGTGAGACTTTAGGTGTAGTCCATCCTGGGACAAAATTCCTTTGCATCTATGAACTTTGAAATCTTTACTTCAAGATATCTGTTTCCAAAGTATTGTGGTGGAACAGACACAAGGTAGACCTATCCATTACAAATGAGAAAGGGCACCAAGCAAGTCCAAAACCCAGAAGAACAATTTACCTTTGCTCTCAAAGACTTGAAAATAATCCTCTGTTCTCTGAGGCCATAATGGCAATGGCCCTGACCTCTAGCTACCTTTTAAAAATAAAAGATGGGGCAACAAATAAGTGTATAGATAAATACGCTAACATGCGATTGTAGCTGCTGTTGCTGTTGTCCAGTGAGCATCTGACTCATGGAGACCCCCTGCACAACAGAACAAAATGCTGCCTGGTCCTGGGCCAGCCTCATGATTGGCTGAAAATTGGAGTGTTGTGATCCATAGGGAGTTCACTGGCTGATTTACAGAAGTAGATCACCAGATCTTTCCTCCTAGTCCATCTTAATCTGGAAGCATCCCTGAAACATGTTCAGCATCATAGCAACACAAAAGCCTCCGCTGAGAGATGGGTGGTGGCTGCATTGACCAGGAATCAAACCCAGGTATCCCGCATGAAAAGTGAGAATTCTACCACTGAACCAGTACTCCCACCAGAGTGTATGATTGGATGTGATAAGTAGATTAGCCTAGTAGCTTGCACCAAAAAAATGTCACAGTGACCAGCTTATCACACAGCACATGAAGATATCAAATAAGCTCATAGATCTAGATTTGGAGAGAGATCAGATCTGAGATCAAAACTTGGAAGTTACTAAACTGGTGATAGGAGTTGAAGCCAAGGGACAATTTGACTGCTAACCAAAAGGCTGGCAGTTCAAACTCACTAGCCACTCCTCAGAAGGAAGATTGGGCAATCTACTTCTGTAGTGATACTGCCTTGGAAACCCAAGGAGGGGTTGCTATGAGTTGGATCCAATTCAAGGGCAGTGAGTTTGGTGTGGTTCTTGGAAGTCAGTTATTAATTCATTGCCTCTCAGCCCTACATGCTCCCTTCAGTGTGTGCTCTGTGAACAAGTTCCTCAAAGGCTGTCTCCTTAACATGAGCCTAGTGAGGCTCAAGAGAGGACACTGGAGGGATGCTGCAGGAGAAAGAGGCTTCCTGCAGTTTCCAGTTCCAGTGGGCTCTATGGTATGAACAAAAGGCAATCCAGGGGAGCCCCTCTTAGTCATTACCCAGATTTGGTCCCTCTGTAATTTTGCAACCTCAGTCTGGTAAAAGCCTTTCTGTAGACTTTTCAATACAAAAGGCAGAGCACGTATGGTCCCACTTTTCAGAGGCCCCAGACAACTTCCCCATCCCTGCCCAGCCTACATGTAGCCGCCTGTGCCAGAAGGTCACACATAGAGCAGCACACCTTCTGCAAGCCCCACCCCTGGTCTGTGTGCTCTGAAGGTCTCCTGCCCACTGGCACTTGAACTCCTTAGGAAGGCCTACTATTTGTCTGCTCCAGACCATCTCTGGCCTGGCTGAGCCAGGGACTCTTCTGCTGCCTGGTGGTCAAACCAATCCTCTCCAAAGAGGTCTGAAATCCTTCAGGTTTGTCCTTCATGGGATACTCTCTCTCAGCCCTAGGGTACCTTACACAGGTTCCTTATATCTTATGCTGTTTGTGGTAGTTAAGTTTGTGTGTCAGCTTGCCTGGGCCTGGTTGAGTGGCTGGGCAGCTGGATGTAGTATTCCCCATGATAAGACTAGTAATCAGCTTCATGGTGGAATCTACTGTGTACAGCTGAGTAGCTGCCTTAGG